GGAGTGTGTATCTTCTGATTCCGTTACTTGTACCAGCACTGTGGACACAGGCTCTTTAGATGCATCTATAACACGCGAGGAGGTCCTCCATGCAATTAATCGTGCTAAATGTGGTAAGGCTGCTGGGTTAGATTTTATACCTGCCGAGGCATTAAAAAATAACTACTGTATTGATGCATTATTGCGCATATTTTCATATTGTTTTAACAACAATGTTTGCCCTAATATTTGGCGTCATAGCTTAATTTATCCTATCAAAAAAGCTGATACAGACCCACGTGACCCATTAGGGTACCGCGGAATTTCTTTAATATCAATACCATGTAAGTTATACGCGGATATTTTAAATACTCGTTTTTCTAGATGGTTGGAATTAAATGATATTTTGGCAGAAGAGCAAAACGGCTTCCGCACTAAAAGAAGTACAACGGAACACATTTATACTTTATTCTCCATTATCAAAAACCGTAAATCTGTTAAACTCCCAACTTACGTCTGTTATATCGACGCCATGAAAGCCTTTGATCGTGTGAATCGCGACTGTCTTTGGTATAAATTACATAGATTGGGAATAAACGGAAAGTTCTTCCGATCAGTTAAATCGCTATATGAAAATAATAGCTCTCGGGTTTTTATAAATGGTAAAATGACTGACAGCTTCGCTGTATTAAGCGGTGTAAAACAAGGTTGTGTTCTGTCGCCTACGCTATTTTCTGTTTTTATTAATGATTTAGTTAAAGAAATTAATGATCTTAAATGCGGAATAAAGGTTGATAATTCTATAATCAGTATTTTATTGTATGCTGACGATATCGCTCTTTTAGCACCCGATGAAAAGTCATTACAATCAATGTTAACCTGTGTCGGCAATTGGTGCAAGAAATGGCGCCTTCAAATAAATAGCAAAAAAACAAAAATTGTTCATTATCGTAACATATCCTCTGTTAAGTCATCCTATCACTTTACTTGTGGTGCGGAAAATATAGAAATTGTTCATTCATATAAGTATCTTGGGCTTTGGTTACATGAAAACTTAGATATGAATTATACAGCAAAAGAAATATCTAAATCAGCCAGTAGGGCACTTGGGGTAATTATCAGTAAGTTTAAAGGGGTGGGCGGCATGGATTATGATGTATTCACTACATTATACAATAACTTAGTTCAACCAATTTTATCATATGGTTCAGCTATTTGGGGCACCAAAGAATTTAGTTGTATTAACGCTATCCAAAATAGAGCTTGCCGCTTTTTCTTGGGAGTAGGCAACAAAACACCTAATTTGGCAGTAAGGGGGGAAATGGGCTGGTCATCTAACTATACAAAGCAAAAAATTGAGATAGTACGTTTCTGGAAAAGGCTGAGTTTGGCAGATGAAAACAGGCTAATGCATATAGTGCAAAGATGGTCATCTAAATTTCGTAAGTCATGGGATAATTCAGTTAAGAAATTATTCGATGTGAAATCAATTACTTCTGTTATAACTAACCTATTATCTTGTGACTTCGACCTTGCTAGAAATATACTCATCAATAAGGATAAGGAATTATGGTTGGAACAGCTCTGGGATGACAGAGGATTAACAAATGGTATTAAGTTAAGAACATATCGATTGTTTAAAACGTCTTTAAGTACCTCCAAATATGTCATTGATTTAGCCAACAGAGAACACCGTAGTATATTTGCTAAATTTAGATGTGGTACCCTCCCTCTGGAAATTGAACTCGGTCGTTTCTTGAAACCAAAAATTCCCTTACATAATCGTATTTGTAAACACTGTAATACAAACAGTATCGAAGACGAGGTTCATTTCTTAACAACGTGTTTTCTTTATGCAGATCAACGAGAATATGTCTGGGGTTATGCCTCGTCTCTTTGCCCAAATTTTTGTCTCATGACCCCTATAGATCAAACCACATTCCTTATGAAGTGCGATAATTTATCCTATTCTGTAGCTGCACTAATTAAATCCATGTACAAACGTAGGCTATATAACAACGTGTCATAAACCCATTCCAGTATTGTATGCCTCTGTATATTTTATATTTGATAAAACATGTCATTGTATGGCAATGCTTGTCATAAATGTACGAGCATTATACTTTTATCTCGTATTTTGTGCACCATTAACAAATAAACCACTGTCCAACATAACTATTTTAGCACTTGCGGTGCTTTTAAGAACATTAGTGTCTAATAGGCCCACGCTGGCCGGGCGATGTATATCTTTTAATATATTTTACCTCTTGTATAAATTGAAGTAATTTTATGTATACACCGCTGGACACTTAAATAAACTATTTTTCTTCTCTTCTTCTTCTTCTGTATATTTGCCGATTTACTCTTAAAGCGCATGTCTTCAAAATCTGTAGTCACCGAGTTGTTTGGTTTGAACACAAATTGACGACGAAATATGTTGAAAGAGTTTACTGTTTTATGTCTGTTTGTTTAACATGTTTTAGGCATCAACGTGCATGACACTTTGATATTGTCCATGCAGGGACTACAGTGTCACGTGACAAATACCAGCCATAATGTCGGTGACAGAAAACAGGTTATCAGGATAACAATTATGTGCAGAAAATCAAAGAAGAATAGAATGATGCTGAATTAAGAATCGATTTAATTAAAATCTGCTTTCCTGTGCATCGGTAACGAGCAGAGATGAAAAGACCCTCTTTGTATAGTCACCCTGGGTCTAAAATTGTAAGAGTTATTGCGTGCTGGTGCTAGACCATAAGCAGTATGTCTGAAATACGTAACTTGGCGTAAGATCCATTTAATATACCTTAACATTTCTCTGATTTTCCGTAAAACCTCACAGAAATACCGTAATGTGTCTGAAAAATGTCATATATCCTGACACCTCTATGTGTCTAGTGCCCGGGTACGGGTATTCAGGAAATGTTGATACCTGTGTGGTGTTCTGACACTTAGATGCTGCCATATTTGCTGTTCACATTCATATTCATTAATCTGAAACAGAAATACTCAGTATGAACTTCTGTGGATTTGCCAACCGATGTGATGCTCAGAAAAGGTTGTTTTAAGGCAGATCTGGCTGTGTCAAATATGTGTCGTCGTGTCGTTCCCAGCTATAATCGGCCCAATATGAACGATGTCACTCGGGTCGTTGGACAGTTATACCCTAGTCCTGCACCATGATTGTGGAATATATTTATTTTATGAAAATGAAAATAATCTAGAAACGTATACAAAAGCAAGTCTAGCCAGCTCTATATAGCTCTATTCCACATGAATCAGCATAGGGAAATTTAAAAAAATATTTTTAGAGTCGAGAAGGGTATTGTGTAATATAAGATTTCATAGACCAAACGTTAATCTAGTTATACCCGTATGTGACGGAAACGCCATACCTCTCCCATCGCATTGGGTATCTCCTGTTAAGAACTTCTCTCATATCGATGTTACAAGTTGTTTGTGTGTTTTTAACATTGATGGTTTAACACTGTGTGTTTTCCGAAACCACGTTTTGCGGGATTTGCAAGAAAGGGGACAGCACTCATCAGTCATGTTTAAAATTGTTGATGATACATTTTAAGAGTTAATTGCACGAGTGTGCTCAGTACACGTTATGTCAACAATCTGAGCATATCATTCGTCAACTAGCACTTCGTGTCATATTTAGGTTCACGATGGTGAAGTTGCAAATGGATCAGGTGGTCAGACTCGCTGACTTTGTTGATGCGTATCATCCGCGTACCCAAGTGACGCGGTTCGCTGCTCATGATGTTAACCACTGGGTTGTCTGGTCCAGACTCGATTATTGCCGATGCGTCGTTAAACAATGAAAATTAATTGGTAACATTTGACTATTATTATAGTTGGGCGGGGGATATAGAAACGGTCTCCGTCCGTCACGTTTCGTTTCTGGAGCATAACTCAGAAACCGTTCAATATTTTTTCTTGAAACTTTGCAGGTCTGTCAAGTACATGCTGAACTGGTGCCTTTTGCTATTTAGAAATTTTAGAAATATGTATTTTTTGCGTTTCCATGGCAACAAGATGGACTTAGGTTCTGTGAGGGTAGGGTTCGTTTCCGGAGCATAACTCACAAACCGTTCAATAATTTTTCATTAAACTTTGCAGGTTTGTCAGGTACATGCTGAACTGGTGCCTTTTGCTATTTAGAAATTTTAGAAATTTTTATTTTTTACGTTTCCATGGCAACAAGATGGACTTCGGTTCCAAACTCTTCTTTTTTTACAATTTCCATGACAAGTTCCACCTCGGTTCCAAACTCTTCTTTTTTTACAATTTCCATGACAAGTTCCACCTCGGTTATAAAAGGTTAGGGTTTGTTTAGATTTAATTATGTCATAAATTCTGCAACAGGGGTGGGGGATATAGCCACGTTAGTGGCAAACTCTTGTTGTGTTTGAATTGGAAGGTGTTTTTGCGGAACAAAATAGATTTGCATTGCACTGGTATTCCACGATTCCGACAGTCCGACAGAGCAGTCTGTTCGCGTTTAAGTAACTGGTGATAGGAAAACAAGTTATGTGTGTATTCAATCTTTATTTTAATGTAAATATACCTCTGCAATATTGAATAAATGCTCCAGCTTATATTTTACGTCCATCGCGCTATTTAAAACACGTGACAATTAAATAGTGTTAGCGTCTATTAGCGAGGATATACACGTTCATCTTTATGCAGGCGATAGCGACCGGGGCTTCCCTACACAATACCGTTATATTGTGTTGACAGTGCACAGAGCGCGAGACGCTTGACGCTACACTGCACTTCAGCATAACCCGGCCTTCACCTCGATCTGAGCTGTGTTTCCGCCTCGGCGCTACGCGGATGTAGACTTGAAACTAGTCTTTATTACGTCATCAACATAACTTCAAACCAGTTTATTTATTTAACAATACGCAGTTTACTGTGACCAATAACTGACGTAATTATATAGGGGAACTTTTTTAAAAAGTTTACATTATGCAAGTTGGTGTCATTGTGAAAATAATGTTTAAAATTTTAACGCTTTTGAGGTTTGAGCAAGTTTACAGCTCTTTTGAAACATGGAGGTTTAGCTGCGGTGTATTGTATGTGGATTGTGTGTTCGTCCGTGGAGTCTCTCCTGGTAATGTGTAGTTGTTTTGTGAAGTATTTTGGTCTTAGCCTAGGCGTTACCTAGTGTCACCTAGACCTAGAGCTGCAGGAGCCGTGACGTCGCAGTCCTACTTCGTCAACACGAGGACATGGCCACGACGGAATGTGTGGAGGACGCGTGTGTTGAGGTTGTGCACGCGAACGCAGTGACATCCCCGGGGGAGCGTGATGTCCTCACTGATGATGTTGAGAGTAGGCATGGGGGTGACGAGAGTCGTAGTTTTATTCAAACAGTAAGTTCTTTACATGTTTAAATGTTTTAATATATTTTTTGACATTCGAACATCACCTTCACCGTTATCTCAATAGCACACATCTGTCTTAGTATTATTCAAGAATCAAGACTTGGTCGAAGTGGATTCGTCCATAATTTACGGCTGTGTGAATAACCCCTTTGAAGGATGAATATGGAATTAGAAACAGGTTTTGTTGCTAATAACGACGGAATTCGTAATTTGGACACGGGCGTCTGAACATATTTGATGAAGCTTGCTATGAATCTGACTACGACCGTTTAGAACAACTGAACAAACGTGAAGTTTTAGCTTGTTATATCATCAATACATAAAGAAAGCTAGTAGTGCCATGTTTATTTTGTTTCGTGGTCTGTGATGGTCTGAGCAACCCAGTCACAGGACAGACCATTGCTCTTGTGTGGTTCGCGTTGGAACAAACACTTGCTTAGTTTTGTGATTAATACTATTTGTTTACAATGCTTATTGAAAGATTTCATGAATCTTTTGCTGCTCATATTTTTACCGAATTACAATTCATTTTGCAAGAAAATCTTAAGGATTTAGGTCATAATGAGGCACGCCCTGAAGGAATGTCGTCTGTAGAAGTAAGTTTTCAACAATTTATGTTGTCAGTGATATGGTTTAGTTTTCAGAATGTTCTCAATAAAGTTGTTTTTTTAACATTAACAGTGCGTATGGTAACTGTCAGATATTTCCTATAATCTCTGCATTGCGCCACTTAAAAGGTTACGTAAATGTTTATCAAAAGGTTTATGTTTTCAATAACATTAATTTTATGATAAAATGTGCACACAATAGCATTAAATATCCTTTTATAGTATAATTTTTCGAAAATATCATTTGATATTTGAAAGTAAATTACATATTTAAATTATTGATGAAATGTTGCAATGGGGTGTGTACATTCATTATTCATGACCACTGCTGTTGGAAGGCCATTGTCTGTGTGAACCAACGCCTATAACTGAAGATGTGGAAGCATTGCCAAGGGAGGCAACTCTGCAAATGTATATTTTATATTAAGGAGCACTTCAACCAATACCATGTATTTGTAGTGCTGTTTGTTTGTTGTTTAACCCCACACTCGGCAATATTCCAGCTATGTGACGGCGTTCTGTAAATAATCGAGTCTGGACCAGGAACTCCAGTGATTAATAGCATGAACATCGATCCACGCAATTGGCACACAGTTTCATCCTTCCTCTGAAATAGGGGCAATGGGGTAGCCTCGTGGTTGAAGCGTTCACTCGTCACACTGAAGAACCTGGTTCCATTCCCCACATGGGTACAATGAGTGAAGCTCATTTCTGGTGTCCCTCGCTGTGTTATATTGCTGGAATATTGCTAAAAGCGGCGTAAAACCATACTCACTCACTCCTCTGAAAACCAGTGACTTAGAAAAATATCAGAATTTGGACAAAGTGAAGTTTTGTCCAAATTTGCCTGCCATGAGCACTTTGTAAAAAATCCTGTATCAGTTTAGGGATTTCATTGTATATCGCCATAGATGTCGATTCATTCTTTGTGCTGATACTGTATTGATGTAAATTTATGCATATCAAAGTATCAATACTAAGTTACTGATTCAAGGCCGGAGAAACAGTCACTGTTGCTGGCTGGAATCGATGTCGTAGGTGTGTTGTTCAAATCCAGTTGTCTTGTCGATTATTGATTACGCGTGGCCTGCCACTCCGAGGATGGTCTCTGACTGCATTCGTCTGTTGCCAACGTTGCCATAACAACCAAATGGTGTTTCTGTGGACGTTAAACTGCCACACTCGCTCGCTCACTCGCTCACTCACTCACTCTAAGGCAATTGTTTAAAAGTCATAACAGTGAATGAAGAACTGAATTGTTACCATTTTAAACAACCTTCACATTTATTTTCCCTGATAAAACTAACCGTATAAAAAGGTTGTATTTAGGTGTTGTTTTACCTGCCCATTCTAATATGTAAACATGAACATTAATGATCTGTACCAGAACTACACTTAGCTGGTGAGTGGCCTCTGCATGTGTTGCCAGTGTTAGCTCATCTTGATGGCAGCTAGCTTTGCTTGAGGCACTTTAAGAACCTACAGTCCGGACTCAAACATTTAATCCTAACGACCAAAGACCAAACCTTAACAACTTTTGTCATTACAGAGAGCGAAAGAGCGGAAGCACTACACAGATGAAGACATTGATGATGATGAGATTGAGGGGAAGCGCAACTACAATATCGAGGATAAGCTTCTTCGCAGCACCTACAAGGGAAACTATGTCCAGTACATGAAGGGACCCGGTCAGTAACAGTCTTATACTATGTCCAGTACATGAAGGAACCCGGTCAGTAACGGTCTTATACTATGTCCAGTACATGAAGGGACCCGGTCAGTAACAGTCTTATACTATGTCCAGTACATGAAGGGACCCGGTCAGTAACAGTCTTATACTATGTCCAGTACATGAAGGGACCCGGTCAGCAACAGTCTATACTATGTCCAGTACATGAAGGGACCTGGTCAGTAACAGTCTTATACTATGTCCAGTACATGAAGGGACCCGGTCCGTAACAGTCTTATACTATGTCCAGTACATGAAGGGACCCGGTCAGTAACAGTCTTATACTATGTCCAGTACATGAAGGGACCCGGTCAGCAACAGTCTATACTATGTCCAGTACATGAAGGGACCTGGTCAGTAACAGTCTTATACTATGTCCAGTACATGAAGGGACCCAGTCAGTAACAGTCTTATACTATGTCCAGTACATGAAGGGACCCGGTCAGTAACAGTCTTATACTATGTCCAGTACATGAAGGGACCTGGTCAGTAACAGTCTTATACTATGTCCAGTACTTGAAGGGACCCGGTCAGTAACAGTCTTATACTATGTCCAGTACATGAAGGGACCCGGTCAGTAACAGTCTTATACTATGTCCAGTACATGAAGGGACCCGGTCAGTAACAGTCTTATACTATGTCCAGTACATGAAGGGACCCGGTCAGTAACAGTCTTATACTATGTCCAGTACATGAAGGGACCCGGTCAGTAACAGTCTTATACCATGTCCAGTACATGAAGGGACCCGGTCAGTAACAGTCTTATACCATGTCCAGTACATGAAGGGACCTGGTCAGTAACAGTCTTACCCCGTATACTATGTCCAGTACATGAAGGGACCTGGTCAGTAACAGTCTTATACCATGTCCTGTACATGAAGGGACCCGGTCAGTAACAGTCTTATACCATGTCCAGTACATGAAGGGACCTGGTCAGTAACAGTCTTACCCCGTATACTATGTCCAGTACATGAAGGGACCTGGTCAACAACAGTCTTACCCCGTATACTATGTCCAGTACATGAAGGGACCTGGTCAGTAACAGTCTTATACCATGTCCAGTACATGAAGGGACCCGGTCAGTAACAGTCTTATACCATGTCCAGTACATGAAGGGACCCGGTCAGTAACAGTCTTACCCCGTATACTATGTCCAGTACATGAAGGGACCCGGTCAGTAACAGTCTTACCCCGTATACTATGTCCAGTACATGAAGGGACCTGGTCAGTAACAGTCTTACCCCGTATACTATGTCCAGTACATGAAGGGACCTGGTCAGTAACAGTCTTATACTATGTCCAGTACATGAAGGGACCCGTCAGTAACAGTCTTATACTATGTCCAGTACATGAAGGGACCTGGTCAGTAACAGTCTTACCCCGTATACTATGTCCAGTACATGAAGGGACCCGGTCAGTAACAGTCTTATACCATGTCCAGTACATGAAGGGACCCGGTCAGTAACAGTTTTACCCCGTATACTATGTCCAGTACATGAAGGGACCTGGTCAACAACAGTCTTATACCATTTAATTCTTTTGTTGTTTAACGCTGCACACAGCAATATTCCAGCTATATGACAGCGGTCTGTAAATAATCAAGTCTGGACCAGACAATCAAGTGATTGATATCATGAGCATCGATCCACGCAAATGGGATACGATGACATGCATCAACCAAGTCAGCGAGCCTGACCACCCGATCCCGTTAGTCGCCTTATACGACAAGCATAGTCGCCTTTTAAGACAAGCAGGTTTTCTGGAGACCCACCCATTCTACCCCGGATCTTCACGGGTCCACAGTGTAGGGACCAGTCCGTAACAATGTTATATCATGTACCACTGTGTAGGGACCAGTCCGTAACAATGTTATATCATGTACCACTGTGTAGGGACCAGTCCGTAACAATGTTATATCATGTACCACTGTGTAGGGACCAGTCCGTAACAATGTTATATCATGTACCACTGTGTAGGGACCAGTCCGTAACAATGTTATATCATGTACCACTGTGTAGGGACCAATCTGTAACAATGTTATATCATGTTACCCCGGGGGCGGTCGTGTTGCCTTGTGGTTAAAGAGTTGACTTGTCACGCAGAAGACCCGGGTTCGATTCCCGACATGGGTACAATGCGTGAAGCCCATTTGTGGTGTCCCCCGCCGTGATATTGCTTGAATATTGCTAAAAGCAGCGTAAAACCTCACTCACTCACTCACTCATGTACCACTATGACACAAGGCAACCTTCACTCACTCCATGTTGCAGACTTCACCCTGAAGTTTGTCCAGGAGAATGGCTTGATGCAGCCAATACTCTTCAAGGACAAGACCGGGCTGGGGATGAGGTGAGTGATGTCCATTTAATTTCTTTGGAGTCAAATTTTATGTATTAAAACTGCATGTTATGTTGTTGATTAAAGTCTGTTGATGTAAGAATATAAGTGTGTGTGTGCGTGCGTGTGTGCGTGCGTGTGTGCGTGCGCACATGTACGCACATGTACGTGATATAAAGACAGATACAAAATTTCACTCCTGATTATTTTCAGGGTCCCGAGTGAAAACTTCAAAGTCAGTGATGTTAAACAGTGTGTCGGTGAGTCTCATGAAGAAGTGGTTCAAGTTCCCTGTCCACAGATGTAATATTGCAGGAGGCTATGAAGTGCCCAGTTGCCTTATATGCAGGGTTGTGTCCCTTTGATGTGTCAGGATCATGAGACATGCTTTGCTCTTTATCCTTGGTTTTCTTCATTACCATACTTGGACTAAAGTTGTAAAGCCCTTTGCCATGCCCACCATCTGAAACAAATAGTTGTCTTTGTTTAATGAAACTGGCCCACCATCTGAAACAAATAGTTGTCTTTGTTTAATGAAACTGGCCCACCATCTGAAATAAATAGTTGTCTTTGTTTAATGAAACTGGCCCACCATCTGAAACAAATAGTTGTCTTTGTTTAATGAAACAGGCCCATCCACTGAAATAAAAAGTTGTCTTTGTTTAAGGAAACTGACCCACCCACTGACACAAATAGTTGTCTTTGTTTAAGGAAACTGGCCCACCCACTGAAATAAATAGTTGTCTTTGTTTAATGAAACTGCCCCACCCACTGACACAAATAGTTGTCTTTGTTTAATGAAACTGGCCCATCATCTGAAATAAATAGTTGTCTTTGTTTAATGAAACTGGCCCATCATCTGAAATAAATAGTTGTCTTTGTTTAATGAAACTGCCCCACCCACTGACACAAATAGTTGTCTTTGTTTAATGAAAATGGCCCATCATCTGAAATAAATAGTTGTCTTTGTTTAAGGAAACTGGCCCACCCACTGAAATAAATAGTTGTCTTTGTTTAATGAAACTGCCCCACCCACTGAAACAAATAGTTGTCTTTGTTTAATGAAACTGGCCCACCATCTGAAACAAATAGTTGTCTTTGTTTAATGAAACTGCCCCACCCACTGACACAAATAGTTGTCTTTGTTTAAGGAAACTGGCCCACCATCTGAAACAAATAGTTGTCTTTATTTAAGGAAACTGGTCCACCCACTGAAATAGATAGTTGTCTTTGTTTAAGGAAACTGACCCACCCACTGAAACAAATATTTGTTGTTTTTTTAATGAAACTGGTCCACCCACTGAAATAGATAGTTGTCTTTGTTTAATGAAACTGACCCACCCACTGACACAAATAGTTGTCTTTGTTTAATGAAACTGGCCCACCCAAAGATACAAATAGTTGTCTTTGTGTAATGAAACTGGCCCACCCACCCACCAATACAAATAGTTGTCTTTGTTTAATGGCCCACACCCTGATAGAAATGATTCTGTCCCTTGAAGAAGAATATTGTTTGTGCAGGAAGTCGGCGTATGCTCGACGTGATGGATGTCAACACCCAGAAAGGTCTTGAGATGACGATGAAAGACTGGGTGCGGTACTACGAGAACACCAGCCGAGACCGCCTCCTCAACGTCATCAGTCTGGAGTTCAGCCATACGCGGCTGGAGAACTATGTCGAGTCCCCCACGCTGGTATGTAGTCATGGTAACAAAGCTCATGTGTGGAGTATATGTGTTACTACATGTGTGGAGTATAGGTGTTACTACATGTGTGGAGTATAGGTGTTACTACATGTGTGGAGTATAGGTGTTACTACATGTGTGGAGTATTTGTGTTACTACATGTGTTGAGTATAGGTGTTACTACATGTGTGGAGTATAGGTGTTACTACATGTGTGGAGTATCTGTGTTACTACATGTGTGGAGTATCTGCGTTACTACATGTGTGGAGTATCTGTGTTACTACATGTGTGGAGTACTTGTGTTACTACATGTGTGGAGTATAGGTGTTCCTACATGTGTGGAGTATAGGTGTTACTACATGTGTGGAGTATAGGTGTTACTACATGTGTGGAGTATTTGTGTTACTACATGTGTGGAGTATTTGTGTTACTACATGTGTGGAGTACTTGTGTTACTACATGTGTGGAGTATAGGTGTTCCTACATGTGTGGAGTATAGGTGTTACTACATGTGTGGAGTATAGGTGTTACTACATGTGTGGAGTATCTGTGTTACTACATGTGTGGAGTATTTGTGTTACTACATGTGTGGAGTATAGGTGTTACTACATGTGTGGAGTATATGTGTTACTACATGTGTGGAGTATAGGTGTTACAACATGTGTGGAGTATAGGTGTTACTACATGTGTGGAGTATAGGTGTTACTACATGTGTGGAGTATAGGTGTTACTACATGTGTGGAGTATAGGTGTTACCATGTGTGGGGTATCTGTGTTACTACATGTGTGGAGTATTTGTGTTACTACATGTGTGGAGTACTTGTGTTACTACATGTGTGGAGTATATGTGTTACTACATGTGTGGAGTATATATGTTACTACATGTGTGGAGTATTTGTGATACTACATGTGTGGAGTATTTGTGATACTACATGTGTGGAGTATTTGTGTTACTACATGTGTGGAGTATAGGTGTTACTACATGTGTGGAGTATATGTGTTACTACATGTGTGGAGTATAGGTGTTACAACATGTGTGGAGTATAGGTGTTACTACATGTGTGGAGTATAGGTGTTACTACATGTGTGGAGTATAGGTGTTACCATGTGTGGGGTATCTGTGTTACTACATGTGTGGAGTATTTGTGTTACTACATGTGTGGAGTACTTGTGATACTACATGTGTGGAGTATTTGTGTTACTACATGTGTGGAGTATAGGTGTTACTACATGTGTGGAGTATTTGTGTTACTACATGTGTGGAGTATTTGTGTTACTACATGTGTGGAGTATTTGTGTTACTACATGTGTGGAGTATTTGTGTTATTACATGTGTGGAGTATAGTTGTTACTACATGTGGTGTGTGTCGCTACAGGTGTGGAGTATTTGTGTTACTACGTGTGGTGTGTGTCGCTACATGTGTGGAGTATATGTGTTACGACGTGTGGTGTGTGTCGCTACATGTGTGGAGTATTTGTGTTACTACGTGTGATGTGTGTCGCTACAGGTGAGGCAGGTGGACTGGGTGGACCGAGTGTGGCCGAGGCATCTCAAGGACTGCCAGACAGAATCTACCAACATCATAGAGAAGATGAAGTACCCTAAAGTTCAGAAGTAAGACCCATCACAGCATACTCAGTATTCAAAGGGTTAAAATCATTATTGGGGTTGGTGATGACAAAACAAATAAAAATGCTTTATCTCACCTCCATTTCAGAATCATGAGATCTGTTGGTCCATGTGATCTTGATAAAATACTGTGTAACCCACCTTGGAGGGTACTTATTTTCTCAGTGAGGGAATAAATCTCTTATACCCCGCCATGAGCAATACAGGTTGCACATAGACCTCTGAGAGGCAGAATGAATCCCTTATACCCTGCTTCAAAGCAAAACGCTGCACACTTTCCCGAGTCACTGGAAGTCACGTGACATAGCACAAGTTGACCTCAGCTCAATCGAACAGCTGTTTTCTATCAATTTTGAATTTGTGTTAATTCTTTTACAATGTCACATTTAAACATGTAGGCGAGATAAATTCATTGCAGCAGGATCACGAGGGGTACACGGGGGTTATATGCTTCCTGTGTTAGGTTTTATACCTCGATCCGGAGGCAAGACGCATAGCGCATACAACCATATGTTCCCGTGAGTGATCCTGCTACAACTTATAGTGTCTTCTTTTCATTTTCTATACTGTGGGTCTCTCCAAGTAAGAGGATGAATTAAAAAATATGAAAAGTTGCATGCTGCTATGATCGTAGGTTTTGGTTCACTTTGATTATGTTTCAAGGTTTGTCAGCACCATACCCATGCTCAAGTGTTTCACCCTAATTGGTAAACGTCACGACTTGCATCCCGAATCAACGCCATGATATAACTGAAATATTGTTCAAATCAGTAATAACCCCAATTCGCTCTCTCTCTCTCTCTTCCCCTCTCACCAACTCACCAACTCACCCACCCACCCACCCACTCACTCACTCACTCACCCACCCACCCACTCACTTACTCACTCACTCACTCACTCACTCACTCACCCACCCACCCACCCACCCACCCACCCACTCACTCACTCACTCACTCACTCACTCACTCACTCACTCACCCACCCACCCACTCACTCACTCACTCACCCACCCACTCACTCACTCACTCACCCACCCACCCACCCACCCACTCACTCACTCACTCACTCACTCTTGTCCCCTCCCACAGGTACTGCTTGATGAGTGTGGCGGGGTGCTACACGGACTTCCACATCGACTTCGGCGGCACCTCCGTGTGGTACCACATCCTCCATGGAGAGAAGATATTCTGGCTCATCCCCCCGACAGAGGCAAACGTGGAGCTCTACGAAAACTGGGTGCTGTCCGCCAAACAAGGGGACATATTTCTCCCGGACCAGGTGTCGGAATGTCAGAAGATCCATCTCCAGGCCGGCGATACATTCATCATTCCTTCAGGTCAGGGAATATGTTGGGTAGCCTAGTGGTTAAAGCGTTCGCTCGTCAATCCGAAGACCCGGGTTCGATTCCCGACATGGGTACATTGTGTGAAGCCCATTTCTTGTGTCCCCCGCCGTGATATTGCTGGAATATTGCTAAAAGCGGCGTAAAACCATACTCACTCACTCACTCACTCAGGTCAGAGAATATGTTGGGGTCATGGTGTGTGTTGGAATCTTGTCTCCCTATGAGGTGCGGTGGGGTAGCCTGGTGGTTGAAGGGTTTGCTCATGACCCCGTAGGACCAGGTTTGATTCCCAAAATGGGTACAATGTGTGAAGCCTGTTTGTGGTGTACTTTATTGCGGAATATTCTAAAAGTGGCATAAAAGCCAAGCTGGAGGCAGAATATGTCGCCTGTACCCCAGCGTGGCGCACGAGGGTGGTGACAAGGTGTGACTTGTGACTGTGTGTCTTCGTGCCTTGTCCTTACTGGTGTCTGGATTCCAGAAGCACAGGCGTGTCTGGTCCTGCCTTGGTAGTCCTGCTAGAGTTGTAATAGGGGCGGTCGGGTAGCCTAGTGGTTAAAGCGTTCGCTCGTCACGCCGAAGACCCGGGTTCGATTCCCAACATGGGTACAATGTGTGAAGCCCATTTCTGGTGTCCCCCGCTGTGATATTGCTGGAATATTGCTAAAAGCGGTGTAAAACCATACTCACTCACTCACTCGAGCTGTAATATTGCTGGCTGCCGTGAAGTACAACGTGTCCTCACTCACTCACAGGGTCAAGTTGTGGACATAGAGGTTATCACGCGAGTGTGTTTGGCGAGCTAAATACATAGTGTTTATTCCTAATACAGGATATTTACCATCCCCAAACACACAAGCCTGATAACCTCTTTATCATATAATGTCGTTCTTTAATTCTGTGCTTCAAAATCGCTTTCCCTCTCTCACAAACATTACCGAAACATTGCGAGTTTTCCTGGAATGCGCGCATTAATATTTATTACGTCATAGGGTAAGTGATGTGTCAGTCGGACAGTGACAGTAGCCAATACAGCGGCGAAGCAACATATACCAACCCCACGCAAAACGCAATATTTATTGTTTTTAATTGCCTTTCGCGGCAATCCATCGGTCTGTCCGCTAGAGTAACAACCCTTTGTCAAAGGGAAGCTACTCTTACCCTATTCTATGAGACGTCACGGCCACGGTCAGACACATTTTGTGAAGATCGGAAATCCTGTACTGTATTTTTATCCAAACTTGGCACATTATGGTCAAGTGGTGAACTGGTGCTTTTTGATAATTTGGGATTTTAAAAAAATCTATTTTTCGAGTTTCCATGGCAATAACTTATGATTGTCTCGTTTCCAGAGCAGATCGTGAAAACTGCACAATACTTCTTCACCAAACTTGGCACATATATAGATAGGTCTAGTGGTTTAACTTTAATTTCAACTGCAACAACTTTAACTTTGACCTGAAAATGGGGGTTGTTATTCACTGTTACTGACCGGGTCCCTTCATGTACTTGACATAGTTTCCTGTCATGTAGCTGGAATATTGCTGAGTGTGGTGATAAACAACAAACAAACAACTTACCTGCTTTTCCCTAAAATATCCAACATATCTTGATACCTGTTGTCATGACAACTGCAGGTTGGATCCACGCTGTGTACACTCCACGGGACTCTCTGGTGTTTGGAGGTAACTTCCTCCACAGCTTCAACATCCTACAGCAGCTGCGAGTGGCCGACGTCGAGGATAAAACACACGTGAGTTGCCTCCCTTTGTAAATCACAAATTTTATTAATTTTGTGTATTGGTGTTTGAATAATTAAGCTGATTTGATAGAAACATGTACATTGATTATGTCAATGGCATATTTTTTAGTCATTAAGTTTAAAGATTAAAGCTAGGTGAGACTGCCTCCTTGGTGTAGTGTATGGAGCATGCAGAATCTCTTCTCACATTATACCTTTTTTATCCCCCCGGCATATAATGCGGGGGGATATAGCGATCAGCCAGTCTGTCTGTCCTTCCGTCTGTCCGTCCGTAATCATTTCCTTTTCCAGGGCAGAATTCCAAAACCATTCCGTGTATTTGATCGAAACTTGGCAAATCTATCAGGCACATACTGAAGTGGTGCCTTTTGATATTATGGGATTTTTCTAATTTTTATTTTTTTAATTTTTTATGGAATGAAGTTGGACATAGACTCAATTGGGGATGGGGTTCGTTTCCGGTGCAGAATTCCAAAACCATTCAGTGTATTTGATCGAAACTTGGCAAATCTATCAGGCACATACTGAAGTGGTGCATTTTGATAAAAAAAAATTACGAATTTTTATTTTTTACAATTTTTATGGAAAGAAGTTGGACCTACACTCCATTGGGGATCGGGTTCGTTTCCGGGCCAGAATTCGAAAACCATTCAGTGGGTAAACAATGTATGCTTCTTAAAGAACATTCAACTGTTGACTCATTACATAGAGAATTGCACATTTACTAGTGGTTACTTTACAGACAGCTGCCGGGGGATCTGTCATCTTTCTGATGACTCTTGTTTTATACCAGCTCACCTGTAGTGGCACAAATCAAAAACAAAATTTTTATTGCTTCCCACCCTCACCACCACCCCCTCACCCTACCCCCGCACCCCCACCTACGGACTGGTATTTTCCTGTAAATATATGTCAAGTCAAAAGAACAGTCAGTTTCTCCTAAAGACCAGAGTGAACCCTGTAGAAATATATGTCAAGATTATCACCAACCCCGTTAATGATGCTTTAATCATGATATGTTTTCCCCTATCAGGTTCCACAGAAATTCCGATATCCATTTTACAACGAGATCATGTGGTACGTGTTGACTCGCTACGTGGAATGTGTGGGCAAGAAATCGTACCTGAAAAAACCCGAGAAGATCGACCTCGATGAGCAGCCAGAGTCTCCAGGATCCTTCTTCACCAGCGATGATTCCCGGCCACCTTCCCGGAACCCCGACTCCCGGCCGCCATCCCGGAACCCAGAAGAACATTCACCGGTCGACTTTTCAAAGATCAAGCTGGAGAAGGATGAAGAACAGAAACTGTCCAAGAGCATCACCATCCCGCTTACTAGAATTGATGATTCTGGGATCAAGAAGTCACAAAGTGATGACGAATCGTTGAGGAATTCAAGATCAGTTCGGAAATTGTCAACAGACTCGGTGCATTCTGAAAATGGTTTTGCTGAAAATGGTGACATGGACAAGAGAAGCAGTGATGGTGGGAGGCGGTGGATACATTTGACCAAGTATGAGTTGGACGGACTTGCCAAGCTGGTGGAGAAGGTGGAGAACTTACCGCTCAACAAACGGGGGGTTCCCAAAGATCTCCTGGACCCCGACGCGGTGATAAGGGATGTCAGGGTGAGATATGAAACTTGGGGCTGTTTTTGCCAGAAATGAGTTGCCTCGTTGTTGAAGGTGCCGCAGTTTGCTTTGAAGAGTTGCGTCCCTTTGACGTACTAGCAGCCAATGATTGTGGGTTCTAGAAACCTATGATTGTGGGTGATTGTGGGTTCTAGAAAGCTGTGGGTTCTAGAAGCCTATGATTGTGGGTTGTAGAAGCCTATGATTGTGGGTTCTAGAAAGCTATGATTGTGGGTTCTAGAAGCCTATGATTGTGGGTTCTAGAAGCCTATGATTGTGGGTTCTAGAAGCCTATGATTGTGGGTTCTAGAAGCCTCTGATTGTGGTTCTAGAAACCTATAATTGTAGGTTCTAGAAGCCTATGATTGTGGGTTCTAGAAGCCTATGATTATGGTTTCTAGAAGCCTATGATTGTGGGTTCTAGAAGCCTATGATTGTGGGTTCTAGAAGCCTATGATTGTAGGTTCTAGAAGCCTATGATTGTGGGTTCTAGAAGCCTATGATTGTAGGTTCTAGAAGCCTATGATTGTGGGTTCTAGAAGCCTATGATTGTGGGCTCTAGAAGCCTATGATTGTAGGTTCTAGAAGCATATGATTGTGGGTTCTAGAAAACTATGATTGTGGGTTTCACGTCTAAGTTTAATATATAATAGGTTTTGTATATAATATTTCTTAAATTCTCAAACCAAACTCAATCACTGACCATAACGTACATCTATTGTTGTTGGTTCTACAATTGCCATAGACTTCCTTCACAGTGTAGCCATTATGTTTTTGATGAATAGGAAAAAGGACAGTCTGATTACATTACATATATTACATTATTACATGTACCTGTGTGTGTGTAGATTCACACATGTAAAGAAATTCACAAAATAATTACATGACGTGGATTATTCTCCTATAAAGCTGAAACATGTAGGAGAACAATCTGTCTGGTATAATTGTTATATATATCCAACTGTCTGGTACAGTGGTGCTGCATGTTATAACACCTCCGGTGCCACTTCTATTGCAGGGCCTAGTGGTTAAAGCGTTCACCCGTCACGCCGATTCCCGACATGGGTACAATATGTGAAGCCCATTTCTGGTGTCCCCCGCCGTGATATTGCTGGAATTTTGCTAAAAGCGGCGTAAAACCATACTGACACACTCACTCACTCTATTGCAGCAACTTCTGGCAGATCACAAGTACGACAACATGAAGGCGGCGGCAAGTGGAGAGCCCACGTGCTGGGTGCCGGAAACCACCAAGGTACTGAGTCCCTGTCTGTCTGTCCGTGTCAACTCTCTGTCCTGCCATCCTCCAACTCCAGGGCATTGTTGGCCCAATTGCCGCCCACATCAGCAACATTTACCACTGTTACTCCGAGGTTTAGTGTCCCTATGGTCTCACGCAAAGCATTCGGCAACAGAACTTTTACTCACACTGCATCTGTGATCTGGAATTCCCTTCCAGTGGAAATTAGGCTATCTCCAACTCTGGACACTTTCAAGACAAAACTAAAGACTTATCTCTTTTGTTTCATCCATTCATTTCCCTTCTGACCCTTATACTACAAGACCGTATTCTACTAATTTCATCGTACTAATGAAAAGTTATCTCTATCACTTAAGAGAAGCAAAATCAATAATCATTTGCCCTGGGGGTTATGCCCTCACCCTGTACAGTCACTTCTCTCATATGCATCCATATTTTACCCAAAAGCTCAATTTAGTAAAACTACATTTAAGTAAATATAAAAAACCTTTTTCCAAAATACCCTGGTTATACTATGACCCTGTGTGAGGGGCTATGAACGACTACGTAGACGGAAATGGCGCTGAAGAAATAGACTTTATTATTATTATTATTATTATTATTATTATTATTATTATTATTATTATCCAAGCATATGTCACACCTACAGTCAAGACTAGTGGTGGCACGTGGTCCTGTGCACAGCACACAGGCCACAAATCAGGTGAAGTTGAATGACCTTGGTCGTGGAGAATAATTGGAGGGGTGACTGCCATTGGCGGCATAACTCCGGAGTGTTTCTAGGGATTCATTCCTGCCCCCCACTCTAGCACATGTAGGACATGTGGTGTCGCTTTAGGCACGTGCCTCTGCTAACCCAGCAGTGAATGGGTACCCGGTAGGATTCAGTGGTAATCTGGTTGTTAATGGCAGCTTGGGTTGTATACTCCTCAGGGAGCTGAGAATGAAAAACAAAGATAAGGGCACATTGATCCATTGATCATAATTGTTGTTGTTGTTGTTGTTATTATATGGAACTGATGTTTTGGTTGTGACAATCATTCATTCTTTCACTCCTTCTTTGTTTCCCTGCTCCCCAGAAAGTGAAGAAGCTGAAGACAACAACGACGTACGTAGGAGGGAAGACACCAAAAGGCAGCACAGCGAACAAAGTGGCGTCTGGAAACCGGCGGCGACGCACAAGGTGCAAGAAGTGCGAGGCGTGTACGAGGTCCGACTGCGGGGAATGCAACTTCTGTAAAGACATGCGCAAGTTCGGGGGCCCTGGCAGGATGAAGCAGTCCTGTATCAGCAGGAAGTGTATGGCGGTAAGTCCCCCTGTGTTCAGTCGCCCCTGAGTTCAGTCCCCCTGTGTTCAGTCTCTCCGAGTTAAGTCCCCCGAGTTCAGTTCCCCCCGAGTTCAGTCCCCCAAAGTTCAGCCCCCCAAGTTCAGTCTCCTCTAAGTTCAGTCCCCCCGAGTTCAGCCCCCCAAGTTCAGTCCCCCAAAGTTCAGCCCCCCCAAGTTCAGTCCCCTCTAAGTTCAGCCCCCCAAGTTCAGTCCCCTCTAAGTTCAGTCCCCCCGAGTTCAGTCCCCCAAAGTTCAGTCCCCTCTAAGTTCAGTCCCCCAAAGTTCAGCCCCCAAGTTCAGTCCCCCCATGTTCAGTCCCCCAAAGTTCAGTCCCCCCCGAGTTCAGTCCCCCAAAGTTTAGCCCCCCAAGTTCAGTCCCCCCATGTTCAGTCCCCAAGAGTTCAGTCCCCCTAAGTTCTGTCCCCCAGAGTTCAGTCCCCATATTCAGTCCCAACAATATCTCTTACATTTGGAAGAGCATTTAAGAATGATGACACTCTCTGTTCTTCTGTTTCCAACATTTTTTAGTGTATCATAAGATGAAAGCTGTTAATACAGAAAAATAATCTGTAGAAAGGGGTCAGCCTGTATAAAGGTTACACTTTTATGAACAGAATCTGTTTTTTCAACTTCCTGAAAGTTGGCCCTTGATATTGACTGATATTCACATCTCTGCTGTTGGCAGCCTGTGTTGCCGCACACTGTCACCTGCTGCATCTGTGAGAAGGACGGCAAGATGGCGAGTGAGGACAACCCGGACGAGATGGAGACAGTGGTCATGGAGTGCAGCCTCTGTTGGGAGATCGTCCATCCCGCCTGTCTCAAGGAGAAGCACGACTCTCTAGACAGTGATGGCATCGTCAACGAGGACCTCCCCAACAGCTGGGAGTGCGCCAAGTGTTGTAACGAAGGAAAACAGGGGCAGCTCAAGGTAGGTAACTTTGACCCCGTGTTGCATTTGTGACCAACTAGTGTTATTCCGGGACAAGTCGAATAGCGACTCATGCCTCCGTCTGCGACTGGGTTCCGTCTAAGCGCAGACAGGCATCGCTTAAAGAATTGTCAACTTATTGCGTAATGATTCACGTATATTTCCTCCATATATCATATATATTCCTGATGCTACTGAAAACACATTGGGACTTTATTATACAGTATAGTTTAACTGTATGTTGGGTATATTTTTAAATGCAAGACATATGTTAAATCTAAAATTATTCCTGTGGGATTCTTTGACTGAAGTACTTGAAGTCATACGCACATTCTGATTGGTTTGTCGTATTTTCGCAAATAACATTCATCGATAGGGGGACAAGTCTTCTTGTAGCTTACTGAAAGGTGCGGGTGGTGACGAATGCTTGTGTTGCTCAAATGGGCAGATCAAGGGAGGTAATTCTCAACAAGTCTTGTAACGAGGGCAAACGGGAAGTTCAAGGGAGGTAATTCTGATCATGTGTTATAACAAAAGTAAATGGGGCCAGCTCAAGGTAGGTAACTCTCAACAAGTGTAGTTACAGTAGATACATTTCTGATGGGGTTAAAGAATATGGGGGAAATTCAGTAAATTGTGAGAGAAACTTCATGATGGTCAGTGAAAATGGAGGGTTTGTTTCATGGTAATTGTGTTATCCAAGAAACTTGAAAATATTGTATAATTGTTTTTAAACATAGCTGTTTTGAGTTTGTTAGTGTTGTATTCAGCTGCTAGAGTTGTAAAGGGTTGTATTTTGATTTAAGCCTAAAACACCTAAACCAGTCGGCCGACCTAAAGGAATTGACAGTAGACGGTCGTCCGCCAGCAGTGTGGGTGACCTTGACGTGAAGGAGGAGGAGGTCGAGTTGGAGGTGACCTTGGAGGCGACCTTGGACAACAACAACACAAAGATGGCGCCAGTGAAGGCCGTCGAGGGAAAGAGGGTCACATCCAAGGAAACACCAGCTCCCCCGAAACCCACGCCCTCCCCAACACCCCTCCCCACACCACCCAAGCTCATTAAACGAGAGAAACTTGTCCAACATCGAGTTAGCCAACAGAGGGCGCTGAAGAGAGACAGACTGAAGCATGTGAGACGTCTGCAATCGTCCGACACAGTCAAGGTAAGATGCATGCTGGAAACGTCTGAGACTTGAGGTCTGCATGCTGTTGATGTATGGGTTGTTAGACAAATACCGTATTCGCCATATTAGGCACCATGCTCCAATGAGTGCCTTCGCTCTACTTCTGGACCAATATGTATATGATCTTTATAAGCCCCCCCTACTCAGTAGAGGTGTAACAATACGAGAGGGTCGCGATACGATACGTATGGCGATACAGGGGTCGCGATACGATACGTATCACTATACAGTGTTTACTGGTACAAGCTAAGCCAAGTTGATGTCTTTCTGCTCTCTAAAAGATGTGACAAGTACAGTTGAAGAAGATATAAGGTGTTTATTTACTGTTATAGCATCTTGTCAGCAATACAGTATGTTTTACTGAAACAACAAACTGGCTTTGAAACTGTTAAACGTATTTCATGTTTAAAAGTACCGTATTTTCTTGAGTATAGTGCGCACCCCCTTCTAGCGGTTTTAATATTTTGGAAAAAAAAGAAATTTGAATATTATGCGCACAAAAAAATAACACCGTACCCCTACAGCGAAGACCGGCAAACGAACGGGTGATGAGAAACTTTGTCAGTACAAATTCGAAATTTGAGATAAAAAATCACCAGACATGTTGATTTACCGTTTAAATTGTATTTTTTGTTCAGTCCAAATATACAAAGAACACTTTTTCTAGCCAGACAGTGTAATTACATGAATAATTTGCGAACTTTAGTATGGATTTGTTGACATGGTATTTCCGGTGTTACGTGCTCACGGTAATGTCTTTCCATGGGGGAAAAAACATCAAAACTCATTAATTCGTGTATAATGCGCACCCCCTTCTACACAGCTGTCTTTTGGAGAAAAAAAGTGCGCACTATACTCAAGAAAATACGTAAGTAAAACTGTGTTATGAAAATACTGTATATATCGTGATACATGCTTTCCAAATCGATGCATCGTATCGTGGGCTGTGCATCGGGATACAATACTGTATCGCCGTATCGTTACACCACTACTACTCAGACATTACAGTCCATATATACTTTTGTATATTACACATTGTTTTACAGAAAACAGAAGCGCAGAAGGGGTATGGTTGCCTGGTAACTTATCCAAAAGGTGTTAGTTTCATGGATGTTTGAGCTAGGTTTGTTCACCACTCAATCTGTATATGGTTTTAATAAGTGACCCTTTGTCAATTTTCTAGGTGACCAGGGTGCTTTTTTTAAGGCAAATACGGTAGTTTAATAGCCAAGCAGGAGACATGCATAGTCAATTCCTCACCAGTTTTGTATGTTCTTCCATCACCTGGGAATAAATACCACTGATAGGCAGTCTAGATAGACCTTTGAAGATCCGGGTTTGAATTGGTCCTCAGCAGCCCGTGCTTGCTGTAAAAGGCGACTATGCTTGTCGTAAGAGACGTCTAACGTAATCGGGTGGTCAGGCTCACTGAGTTGGTTGATGTATGTCATTGTACCCTAAGTGAGTAGATTGATGCTCATGATGTGAAGCACTGGGTTTTCTGGTCCAGACTCGATTATTTACAGACCGCCATCATATAGCTGGAACATTGCTTACAAGGAGACAAACAGTACAGAGATCTAAGAACTTTATTATCAAACTGCAAATTCAATACATTTGTGAAGCTTTTTACATCAAAAGATAAACCATACAATGTCGTGTCAATTTGTATATGTCCCATGTTTTAATTTTACAACTGATGAAGTGAAATCTTTGTAGCCCATGTGACATTAATACTATGTGATTGTGTCCAAATGTAGAATTGTACGAAAGTGTATTTGGTCATGAGGCCTGTCGTGCAATGAATAAATCTTTGATTTGATTTGAACTGCTTAGAAACTCCCCATGACCTATTTTTTCAGAGAGTTCTGCCTCAAGTGCGAGCTACCATCATCCCAAAGTCTCCTCCTCAGTTCATCAGTCGGAGCAGCAAACGGGCGTTAACAGACAGCAGCGACGAAGACGACGACGACGATGATGACGATGCCCCTAGTAGAAAGCGTCCCCGCCGAGAGGTAGTCCTGCCTCGCCGTTATCTCGATTAAACCACCTCCCACCCATCATCCTCATTGTCCCTGGCACGGATGTCTCACGTGGATGTCTCAGGCAGATGTCTTACGTAGATGTTTCACGCCATCCATCATACAAAACTTATCTGACGTGTTGGTTGCCATGTCGATTTCGCCTTCCACGTTTTGCTATGTTGAGGTTTAAGGTTTTTAATTCATGTTGGACGTCAGAATTTTCGAGTTCAGATACCGTTCAAGTTCAGACGAGTTCAGACAGTTATTTCGTTTCAGACTTCCCTTGGCAGCAGAGTTGAATGTTTACTAAAATTTGAGGTTTGTGCAGTTGTGAGATGGTTGTACGTTCGTTTTTGTGCTTTTGATATTTGGGCTTGTATTTGTGGCCTGATGACATTGGTATCAGACTTGTACTGACAATGTGTATAGCCTGATAACATTGGTATCAGACTTGTACTGACAACGTGTATAGCTTGATGACATTGGTATCAGACTTGTACTGACAATGTGTATAGCTTGATGACATTGGTATCAGACTTGTACTGACAATGTGTATAGCTTGATAACATTGGTATCAGACTTGTACTGACAATGTGTATAGCTTGATGACATTGGTATCAGACTTGTACTGACAATATGTGACTTGATATCAGTAATATCAGACTTGTACAGACAATATGTGACTTGATAACATTAATGAGTAACTCCTGCGTCACGTTATGATTGTTTATGTGAGCTGCATGTGCTGTCCTGATCTGTGCCTGCTCGTCTACTACAGACTTAACTTACTTGCAAGAAAATTAGGTTAGTATTAGCACCAAACTACTTACCACAGTTGTATCACAGTCATACTTTACCGGTACTTGTACCGCAGTTTATCTCAGTTTATCTTTATCTAGGTTGATGAGGTGTCAAGAGGTCTGTGTATGGACAGAGTCCTCCGAGTATGCTAGATCCGCCCTGCACCTCGACCTGGGCGCCTGAACCCCGTGTGTTAGAAATAGGTGTCACGATTCACTGATGCATCAATGATTTTCACTTGACGACAGGGGTAGATTTAACAACAAATGTTGTATGTAGCCGGCAGGGCTTGCTCCTTTCAGGAGTTACTGGCCCTTCTCCAAACTTACTGGCCCTTCTCCAAACCAACTGGCCCTTCTCCAAACCAACTGGCCCTTCTCCAAACCAACTGGCCTTCAACTAAGTATGGGAGGCCAAGACTGAGTGACCTAGGGGGGAAATTTTAGAACTCCGCGCCCCTATAAACGTCATCTTTGGTACTCATGAGAATAAATCTTGGCTTCCATTTGCTTCATTTTGTGGCGATTTATGAGCAAATAGTTGTACAAAATGGCTGTAGGTTGTGTCACTCTACCGAGATTTTCTTTGAGTTGACCATTCACCAGAACTCATCCCCCCTAAATATTTTCTCATTGAAATTACGTAATTCATGAGCATTGTCCAATTACAAATATTAAAAATACACAGAGAATAGGGAAATTTTGACCAGACGGACAAATACTTTATGTTTCACCAATCCTTTTGTAATTTTCACCGGCCACAGGCCAACAGGCCACTAGTTAAATCGACCCCTGGACGATATTACACATTATCCACCTACCATTCATGGTTTGGTTTTGTATTTCAGTAACATTTCTAATTTTCAAACAGTAATATTTGAGGAAAAGTTTTGCAATAACTTGACCAGATCACTATTCAAGTTTGTGTTACCATACTGTCTATCACCAAACTATAAAAGCTGGTTCCTAGCAACAACATCTTGCTAGACAGTCCACAAAATGGCACAAAGTAGTATGACAGTGGCTACAATATTGTGAGTCGTGTATTACGAGGTGTATCTATATGTGAGGCAGGAATATCGTGACACCCTAGTTGTAGACCTGTGTTACAGGTACAAAGTAGACCCCGACAGAATGACCAGGGGTAGCATTTTGTGAAGACAAATTTATATGTTTTTTTTATCAAATTTGCAAAAGATTTGCAGAGTGTAAATAATTGTGTTGATTTAGTGTGACCTGTGTTGTACATACACCAAATGGATATTTTATGAAAGTTTGTCGATGTGTTGATGTAAGTTGCCCTCAGGAAGGTTGCGGAGACGGGGTGAAGGAGGAGAGAGTTTGAAAGATGCTACAAGACTGGACATGCTCCCTGATCAAAGTGGATAGTTCTCTAATTTGGCCAGACGAAGTATTCTATTCTTTTTTATGAGAGTTTTATGGGCAAAATAGACCCCATAAATTGTGAATGGAAATTTGATGACCTACAATTTCAGGATTTTTAGAAAATAGTTATTTTGATTTTAAGGCCATTTGTTTGATAAGCTATTTGTGATAAATGTCTTCATATATTAGCTTAAATAAAACCGCTATGGAGAAGAGATAGCATGCTTTTAATCACAGCATTTTGGGTTGACTCTTATGTGAAATAAAAACATTTGTCTGGCTGAAAAAAGTTAGAAATATACAAGGCAAAATAATATATATTTTACAAAACCTTACTTATATTTTGATTTTCTGTATTCTGTTTAAATTAGAGGACATGTATACACACTTTGTGTAGATCCACAAGCCTGAATAACATTTATAAAGATTTATGAGTGAAAAGCGAGGGTGAAGAAGAAAACGCTTCTTCTAGATATAAAAGTAGCATGTATTGCTTGTTGAATGGAAGGTTGGTATGGAAGAGAAAGGGTGTGGCTGAGATTGTGAAGCTTGTTGCAAGCTTGCGCTGTACATAGTGTCGCTGTACATAGTGTCGCTGCCAGTATTTATCAGTATTGTGCTTGTCACCACCTTACGAATCAGAGGAGGTAGAAATATTACAATATATAGAACATTGAGAAATGTAGTTTCAAAATTGTAATAAAAATAAAATCCCATAAACATATTTCTTAGAATCAATCTCTTGTCCCGAAAGGTAAAATATACGAAGAAATGAAGATGGAAATCTGTGTTGACTTGTTCCACTCTACTCTGTGACATATTGCGCCTGTTTCCTGTAAATACATGCTTTGTAGTTTCAAAATATTAATAAGAATCAAATCAAATAAACATATAGTTTGGAAATAATCTCTAAAGAATATTGTCCAAAAAGGTAAAATAAAATACAAAATAATAAAAATTGAAGTCTGTTTTATGTCTAATTACACATTTGGGAAAGTTTGGTTTCTGTTTAATCTGTAATCAGAAAACAAATACCTGAACATACAGGTGATTCTGCAGACGCAGACGTCAGTCAGTAGAACGAGGTTGGATTAAATCCGTTTTTGTATTTAAGATAATCTGGTTCTTCAAGTTAAGCATGTTAAAGATAACATACACTTCAGGTTAAGCAAGTATAAGTACAAGGCATTTGTTTGAGAAAACAGGTACTCTGGGATAGAGAAAAGAAGGCTCTCTTTGACAGTTGGAATGTGAAATAAGTGGTTGTTCGGAAAATGTCGCGACAGTAGTGTTGGACGCATGCTGCTGTCAGTGTGTAGACAGGAGGTATGTTGATGTTGCTGATCTTGTGTTGTATATAGTGTCATGTCACCATCATCATCATCATCACCATCATCATCATCATTACCATCATCATCATTACCATAATCATCATCATCATCACTAGGGCTGTAACGATCCACCGAAGATTTGGTACATTCCAATATGTTGTGCCAGGATAGGATGCATTTTGAAGTTGGGCCTCAATAGAAGATGATGCAATTATATGTGTGAGTGAGTGAGTGAGTGAGTGAGTGAGTGAGTTGGGGCTGCAATGATCAAATGCTGGAAAATAGGAAAAGAAGTTTTAATGACGTTTTTCTTTTGTGTGAGCAAGAGGTTTCAAACCAGTTTCAGTGTCATTATTTTCCCGTTTTATCGTTTGCATCCCCGACAACTTATCCTGACTACGAGATACGAGATACGAGATATGAGCCATATCTCAACGGTGTGTACCGTTCCAGCCCATATCATCAGCCTGAGTAGTGTACAAGGACTCTGGGAGATTGGATGAACACAATGTCAGCTTCATATGGACAGAGTTGGGCAGTACCCAGAATACACCCTCTCACTCTGGCGGACATTGTCCCTTTATCTGCACCGAGTCAGGTGGTGTTCACGCTATTGACCACCAGTTTGACAGCGTGGACCTGAGTGTGATGATAACGCTGATACCACCTGCATTCCTCCGCTGTGTTTGATAATGTTTATTGTGTTTTTTTACCTGGGGGGCAATAAACTACAGATGCATCATGGGACCTGGCTCCAGTGTGTACCGGTATTGCGATACTTACACCTATTTCATAATGGTAGATGTCAATGTTTCTTCAAGTCGGGGGGGGGGGGGGGGGGGGAGTATATGTAAGTGAAATAATTTTACAAACAATTTGTTGGTGTACAGTTTCGCAATGCATACACTGTCTTGAGCCAGGTACGATGGTACATAGGAAACTACTATTACTGGTATGAAGTGTCACCTCTTGGTCTGTTACAGTAGAAGAGGTCATTTTATTGTCAAAATTGGAGGGATTTTAACACGGCTTAACAGCTTTTGTCATGGCCTCTGATATACGAAGTGTCTAGCAGAAATTATTTCAAAAAGTGATTTCTGAACACGCAAGGTCGGGAGAACTAGAGACTCTTAATATTTCACTATCAAATATTAACATTTCTCTAATATTTTATTTAATTCTAACAGTATTTGTTTCAGGGCCAAGTTCACTTTATTATCAGAATTGATGTACCTAATTTGGTGATTGGCTATTGTATCAATACTGCTTGAAATGTGTAAAATACTTTCTTTAATCATGTGTTTTCTTGTAAATAGAAATATTTGCTATTTAAAAAATGAAAGGTTGTCAAACATTTTTTATCACAGAAAAAATCTTATGTGTTCGGGATTTTTTAAACAAGAAGTGATATGAAAAGCCAACTCACTGGGCAGCAGTTAGTCAGTAAATGGGCAGATGGCGATGAAACTTAGTTTCATATGATTGGCAGCTTAAAGTTAACAATCCATCAAAATCATTAACTATATTAACAATTTGTAAACTAAGTTTCAATTGAAAGAAATGTTTCCATTTTGTAATTTAGGTTTAAAATTAGATGAAAGAGTCTTTTTTATGGTGTATGATCAAAATGATTTTTTTATAACTTTTTTAGTGAGCACTGTTAGTGATGCAAATAGTAGGTTACCATAGCAACAATTATCCCAGAAATCTACAGTATTAAACCCTAGATAACACTGAAATGTGACACAGGCAAATGCATAGATTAATTTGATGGGTTATGTCGTTGATGGAAGAAAGGAAGAAAACAATTTGTTGACAGGCAGAAAGTAGAAAATTGTGGTGGTGTGGCCCCTCGGGGGAAACATGTTCCGAATCATCTGTCACATGTTCCGCATCATCTGTCACACGTTCCATTGTTTATCGTGGGGCAGATCTATGATACTGGGCAGCGTCTGATTTAACCAATGCAGTTTGTGCCTGATAGCCACCATATTGTTTTTAGCCTTAAGTATCTTAATGAGTGATTGTACACTTCATGTTTGATCTTCGGCCCCAAAGTCGTTCGTTCTGATTTGACAATGTTCAATGAAAGTGAATCCTGTAGATATTTATTTTATTGCTTCACAGGTTTCTAATTCACCAGGAAATAAAGCTTAACATTGACTTCCAGGCTTTGTTTTCATTTCCCAGAGTCCCTGTCAGAGTACTGCCAGTTCAGAACACTAGAACTAGTGGAAAAGCAACAACAGTTTTTCTTTTAAGCCTCACCTGAAACTTGAAGATTTTCACCTTTCTTCCATTACAGAAAAGGTTACAACTCCGAGACAAAAAATTCAAATTTCAATTTCAGAAAGTCTTTTCCCTTAACTTGCAATTCAAGACTATCAATTAACAAAATGACTCAATATTAATGTGAACTTTCAATAATACAACACACTATATTGTTTGAACACATGATTAATACATTCTGACTTTTTGGAAGTTTGGAGTAAAGATTTTCAGCAGCACCAGCCAGAAGACTTGACCTTGACCCTGTCCTGTTAATGTGCTGTGTTGATGTTCATGTTGTGTCCACCACACCGACGCCTGTTCCTTGTCGTTACAGGGCCGCACGCGAGCTCGCATCATGGCCGCCTCCCGCACCAAACTACGGCCTCGCTTCTTCAAGACGGCTGGTCGTGGACAGGACAGAGGTGTGGGTCAGCTGCAGACATCGCCTGCCAAGCGAGGCTGTCATGGTGGAGGTCAAGGGTCAAGTGGCCATCAGAACAAATCACCAAAGGGAAAGGGTTCAAACAGGGACCGATCGAATGAAAGGTCCAATCCCCCATCCGACAGAGGTGAAGGTCAGAATCCTGATCAGCCGGCTGGGTTTTCAGGGTCAAGGTCAAGACGTGGGGATGGAGCAGGTCCTGTGTGTGATAAGGAATTACGGGTAGTGATTAACAGATATGTTGTACGTCCTGCGCCAATCCCACCGCCAGCAGATACAGTGGAGCTGGACACGGGAGACGTCCATGTTCTCAAGCGCCAGATGTGGATGAGTGTGTTTAAGAAACTGGATTTGGGCGACTTAGCCCGGTGTTTGTGTGTGTGTAAGACGTGGAATCGGTGGTGCATCAACCGATGTCTGTGGAAGGAGATCGATCTGCGACAGACACGAATCCGACAGAGCCACCTGGTGGGGATTGTTCGTCGACAGCCGGAATCTCTGATCCTGGCACGGAGTGTCATGACCCCTAAACAGTTATCCTGGCTCGTAGTTCGTCTGCCTCAACTCCACCATCTTGACTTGTCGTATCTGTCATGGGGAACTATTGGCGGCCTCTGCTCCTCTTCCTGCCCCCTCCTACGCTCCCTCTCCCTCAACTGGGCCGTCGGACTCAGCGAGGACTCCTTCCGCGACCTTGTCCTTCCTCCAGCAGACAGGAAGCCTGCTCTCAAGGTCATCAGCCGCCTCCACAAGGTTCACACGCTGTCATTGGCTGGAACTGAGGTTACTGACCAATCAATTGAGATCCTATTGCAGCACATGCACAACGTGGAGAGCCTGAACTTGAGCTACTGCGTCCAGCTGACCAATGCCACCGTGGTGGCGCTGACCAAGAGGGACAGTCCCTTGATGAACAAGCTGAAACAGCTTGACCTCTCAGGATGTCTGCAGATAACGGATCACGTGTTTCACTTCCTGAAAGCATGCTCCCAACTGGAGACCGTCAAGTTTCACGGCTGTCCGAAAGTCACACGGCATGCATGTCAAAAGTTTGTGGATTCCTACATCTGCCATCAGCTCTCCGTACAGGTGGATAAAATGATTATCACCACGCCTGACACAAGTGATGGTTAGACAGGCAATGGTGTGGGAGGGTAATGTATAGCGTGAAGCCAGTGGTGTTGAGACCGGCAATGGTGTAGGAGGGTAATGTATAGCGTGAAGCCAGTGATGGCTAGAGCAGAGGGTAGGGTACAGTCTGAAATCAAGTTTTAAATGTTGATATTATTTGTCTTAATGGTGATATATTCTGTGTATCACACAATGATGGGAGTGACCATTTGACAAAATTAAAAAAAATAAAATGGAAAAAATAAATTGCCCCAATTTCTTTAATTTGCTCGATGAAAATTAACTTCTTGTGTCACAGATGCCAAATATAGATCCTGTTGTGCTAAACAGATTTAAACTATAATAGTGGTGGGAGGAAAGTGAGGGTTTGGACTCAGGTCATGTTGATATAATAATTTTGATTTCGGAGTGGATTATCCTTGTAAGGGGAGACAGACTGAGTGAGATATTTAGATCTGATGCGGGTGACAGGTTACTTTAGTTTTCTTTTGGTAAGAATCCTTGTGAACAGAGGACGCAGATTCATTCCAGCAGTGCACGAGATGGACACATCCGTATACAGTTTCCTTGTGAGGTGAGGCCACTGGGTGGAAAGGAGTCTGTGTCAGGTGTAGATAGGTGACACTCTGTGGGACAGCCGTGTTGGGGAGGCCGTGCAAGGTGGATATGTGACACTCTGTGGGACAGCCGTGTTGGGGAGGCCGTGCAAGGTGGATATGTGACAATCTGTGGGACAGCCGTGTTGGGGAGGCTGTGTCAGGTGCAGATAGGTGACGCTCTGTGGGACAGCCGTGTTGGGGAGGCCGTGTGAGGTGGGACAGCCGTGTTGGGGAGGCCGTGTGAGGTGCAGATAAGTGACGCTCTGTGGGACAGCCTTGTGAGGTGCAGATATGTGACACTCTGTGGGACAGCCTTGTGAGGTGCAGATATGTGACACTCTGTGGGACAGCCTTGTGAGGTGCAGATATGTGACACTCTGTGGGACAGCCGTGTTGGGGAGGCTGTGTGAGGTGGGACAGCCGTGTTGGGGAGGCCGTGTGAGGTGCAGATAAGTGACGCTCTGTGGGACAGCCATGTTGGGGAGGCCGTGTGAGGTGCAGATAAGTGACGCTCTGTGGGACAGCCTTGTGAGGTGCAGATATGTGACACTCTGTGGGACAGCCATGTTGGGGAGGCCGTGTGAGGTGCAGATAAGTGACGCTCTGTGGGACAGCCTTGTGAGGTGCAGATATGTGACACTGTGTGGGACAGCTGTGTTGGGGAGGCAGTGTGAGATGTAGATGCGTGACACTCCCAGCTTAGACATAGCATGTCGCTGTTAAGGAGGCCGCGTGAGGTGTGGGGCCATGTTGGGAAGCCAAGTTAGGTGAGGGGAGTGTCCATTTTGCAGAAGGCCTTGTCAGTGGATGGATGTTTTGATACAGAATGACGATGTGGGTGGATGAATGCTATATTGTTGTTGGATGTTGGCATGAAACGTTCAGAACTGAAGTTGACCATCCTCAAATAGTGTTGTCCGTTTTATTATGATAAATACCCATTTGTAACAGTGCTTCTTGTTGATTTCAGTTGACATGTTAAAAATAGCCATCCATTCAAATTACAATCATGCAAGAGAAATTTGGCATTGAGATGGGGATATCCATTCACATGTGAATCTCTCCTAGGGTGGGTCCAGGGTTTGTATCATGATAGAAGGATGTGATACACTGGGTGATGGAGGTGCGGTGAACATGTGGTGATTGTGTGCTGCGAGTAGAACTGATCATTCAGACTGTGGACTGGAGAGTCAAGGGAGAGTATATGCGAGTAGAACTGATCGTTCAGACTGTGTCGAAAGCATCAAGGGAGAGTCACTGCGAGTAGAACTGATCATTCAGACTGTGGATGGACTGTGTCGAAAGCAACAAGGGAGAGTCACTGCGAGTAGAACTGATTCCCTCAGACTGTGGACTGTGTGGACTGTCTCGGAAGCAACAAGGGAGAGTCACTGTGAGTAGAACTGATCCCTCAGACTGGACTGTGTCGAAGGGCAACAAGGGAGAGTCACTGCGAGTAGAACTGATCCTTCAGACTGTGTGGACTGTGTCGGAAGCAACAAGGGAGAGTCACTGCGAGTAGAACTGATCATTCAGACTGCGGACTGTGTCGAAAGCAACAAGGGAGATTCACTGTGAGTAGAACTGATCATTCAGACAGTGGACTGTGTCAAAAGCAACAAGGGAGAGTCACTGCGAGTAGAACTGATCGTTCAGACTATGGACTGTGTCGAAAGCAACAACGGAGAGTCACTGCGAGTAGAACTGATCATTCAGACTGCGGACTGTGTGGACTGTCGAAAGAAACAAGGGAGAGTCACTGCTAGTAGAACTGATCGTTCAGACTGTGGACTGTGTCGAAAGCAACAAGGGAGAGTCACTGCGAGTAGAACTGATCATTTAGACTGCGGACTGTGTCGAAAGCAACAAGGGAGAGTCACTGCAAGTAGAACTGAGCCTCCAGACTTGGGACTCATCTCATGTCTTGAAAACAACGAGCCAGAAGAAGAAATGGATGAAGCAGACCAACAGTGACATAGAGAGTTGGGGGAATACGGGCTAGCCGAGTGGTTCACTGAAGACTGGGTTTGATTCTTCCCATAGGTGTGAAGCCCATTCTTGGTGTCCTCTGGGATGGCTGGAATATTGCTAAAAGCAGCATAAAACCCACTCACTTGCATCATTGCATTTTGTACAGTAAGTAAGCTTTGCACTAATTTTACCAATACTATTGCAAAGAACAGCAATAATGTGCTTCACACCCTGTACCCATGTGGGGAACTGAACCCAGACCTTCAGCGTGACAAGCTAACATTTTAACCACTAGACTACCTCACCGCCATACTGAGTTACATTTTCGAAACTATGTACCACCACAGTTAGCAGAACGGGTACCGGTATATCACAAAATTGTTGACCAGCATGTTTAACTCAATGTCTGGGCTGAAGTATTTATTCGGGTCTTTTTTTTCCATATCGGTTATCACTCTTATTTATTGTTTATATTATCATGAACATGGGGCAGCATGGTGACACATCGCAGAGCACTTTAGACGGCATGATGTTCGTTTAAGGTGCAAGGTCAGATCTGCAAATTTTGCTTTTATTGTGGGCTTCAAAGAAAAGGGTAAGCCCAGCAGGGTTATTTGCTAAATATAGATTCATTGGAAAACATTCAATTAAATGTCTCATTCCTTTAAACATACCTCATAACCGCCGTCATAAAGCTGAAATATTGCTGAGTGCGGCGTTAATCAACAAACAAACAAACACAGCCATGAGGGAGCAGGGATGGCCCCTGTCGTGGAAGGCTGCATACCACTGTGCAGAGTTGCGCCACATGGCATGGCATGATCGGTTCGAATCCCGGTTTGCCCCGATTATGTTTCTTGGTTTGTCAGCACCTGTGCTGGTGGGTTGTACCAGAGTGGAAACCGTCTTGAGACCTGCATCTCACATGATATGACATCTACTAATCAGTGTTAAACCCAAATCGCTCACTCAATCCTTGAACGATTTCTTCAGCAGCCAGCAGGTGGGATATTTCGTTTATTATATAGATGTACAGAAACAGGCCATAGAAAAGACTCTGCCATCTGATGATGCACCTTATAGGCTGTTGGGATTTTTTTTTTTTGTACATAGTCTATAGCTTCTCTGGACAGGACTGTCATCAATAATAGAAGAAAATGTGTAACAAAAAAACCAGGGGATTATAAATATTTTTTGGGATATTTTAATAAAATTGTGTGCGGAGTCAATACAAAACATATCCAAAAATATTCACGATCCAAAAACTCGATTTGAAGAATGAACAGAATTCATCCCTTTAAGGAACACTTATTTCAATTGTTTAGAAAGAGATTTTTTGTGTAATGTTATAGTGTAATTCAATGCTGACAAGTCACAATGAACCTTATTCTTATAGATTGTCATAAAAATAACAGAATAGTAACATTTAATTAATATATTTGCCATATGCCTAAATATCGAAATATGCAAACGTCATGGATCAGTACTGAACAAAACAAGTTACAAGATCATGAATATTTTGGGGCATATTTTTTTGTACAAAGAAAGACTGCACATAATTTTATTAAAACATCCCCAAAATATACATGATCCTTTACCGTTTTGTTCAGTTTACAACCAACATTATCTGCACCAAGTCGAGATACTGTAGTTTGACTTCTTGGACAGGCATTTAGAAGTTGGAGTAAGGATAAGATATATGGATGAACAACTTCTTTATTACAATTAGGAGCGATGTTTCGGTGTAGATTCTAACACCGTTATCAAGCAAGTGATGTATATATACAGGTAGGATGCAGTGTTTAAACAGTAGGGTAGATATCAGATGTATACACTGGGGTGAGAAGCCTGCTGTGTACACAAGGGTAGTAAACGCTGTGAACGCTTGTTATTACTGACTTCACCGCTCAATATGTTTACTACCCTTTTGTGTACTTAACAGGCTTCTCCACTCCAGTGGGGGCACGGGTGGCCCAGTCGTCTAAGGCACCGCGATTCACTGTGCAGAGTTGCGTCCCTTGGGCATGCCAGAAACCTATGATAGTGGGTTCGAATCCCGGTTCGCCCCAATAATGTTTCTAGGTTTGTCAGCACCATACCCGTGCTCGTGGGTTTCTGAGACCTGCATCACTTAGGGCTTTCCTCCCACATTAGGGGGCACGGGTGGTCCAGTCGTCTAAGTGCCGCGATTCGCTGTGCAGAGTTGCGTCCCTTGGGCACGCCAGAAACCTATGATTGTGGGTTCGAATCCCGGTTCGCCCCGATTATGTTTCTAGGTTTGTCAGCACCATACCCGTGCTCGTGGGTTTCACCGAAGTGGTAAACGTCTTAGACCTGCATCACTTCGGGCTTTCCTCACACCTTAAGCTGACACGCCGTGATATAACTGGAATACTGTTAAAAGCTGTTAAACCCAACTCACTCACTCACCACTCCAGTGTAACTAACGGTGTTAGAACCTGCACCAAACGTTGCTCCTAATTGTAGTGAAGAAGTTGTTCATCCTTAAATCTTATCCTTACTTAATACTGTAGTTTAGTTGTATCACCATGGAGACAATTAGAGTGAGTTAAAACATAATGTCATGTGCGGAATTTCTCAGCCGTAATGTGATAGGTGCTTGTGACCTCCATCCATGGCTGTAGAAAAAATAATTTCCTTCAATACTAATGCATGTATCCACTGTACAGGACATTTTCCTCTTTTATTTCTTTGTTTCATAAGTTTTCAGATTTTATAGGTAGCAGCAAATGTTTGTTGCATGTGTTCATTTGATTCATGTACAGGTCTGGACAATTGACGCTGTCAGGACAAGAACAAATCGGTGATGACGACGACGACAACGACGACCAATGTGTGCAGTTGGTCATCTGTTTGTATCTTGTGTTAGGGATATCTTTGACAGTTAAATACATTGTCCCGTTCGATGTGAATTTTTAAGGTATGTCAGAATCATTTCTTAGTGAATGCATCGCTATAACTCATGTATATCGTCAATCATTAAAGTTACATCCATCACATGACATTGTGGTCCTTTTGTCTCGGCATGGACATCTGCAGTTAGGATCCAACTTTGAACGGTGATTCTTCCTCTTCACAAGGGGCCGTATTCAGGCAAGGGCAGACGAACCTGGTTTCTCGACTTGTTCTTCTAGTGAGGGTCTCATCCCTTATACACTGCTGACAGAATTCCAATCTCATTAAAATCAGATCTTAGTTTTCGCTTCCACTAAACAAAGATCTGAGGACATCCCATTACGGGTCACGTCAGAACGACCTTTCGCGAATTTTGACCGACCAATGAAATGACTGACAAGAAATCGACATGAGCCAATCAGAAGGCAGCTTTCTCGAGCTTACGACACTAGTTTCAAACTGGCGACTACACTTCGAAACATAATTTGACGTATTCTCAATTAAAAAAATTGAAACTGATAAAAAGAACATTCTGGAATGGCTTATAGATGGCCTAGTTTGTATGGATATAATCATAAAACCCGTTACTGTCGTTCGGAATATCCGCTGTTAAATATTTCGAGTTTGCATGATTAGAAAACACATTCCGTCTGATCTTTGTTTAGCGATAGCGAGACCTAAGATCTGATTTTAATGAGATTGACAGAATTCATCACCAGAAACTGCTTTCAGAGAGTTTTTAGCAGTGCCACTTGTTATTGTAAGAGGCGACTAACGGGATCGGGTGGTCAGGCTCGCTGACTTTGTTGATGCATGTCATCATATCCCAATTGCGTAGTCATATAGCTGGAATATTGCTGAGTGTGGCATTAAACAACAACATGATGCATGACAGCAGCTTGAAAGTTCAATTTACATGGGAAATAAGAGACAACTCAAAGTTGACATCAATTTTTACTACTACTAAGCAACTGCAAATCCAAGCAATGAAAATAAAAGTTTAGTTGATGCTTTCACAAAGCATCCCAACTTGCTCGCTACAAAACACAGACTATTCTGAGATTCATTATGTAGTGAATCAGTAATTCACATCCACACCTTTGTAAATATATATATATGTATCAAACCACACCTATAAAATATCCTGGAAAGTGTCATGTTTATGTACACGGCAGTTGCTTACGGTGTATATACATAAACACTCATGATGTAAAAGACCAACCTGTATTGCCACAAACATGTATATGTACAGGAAAAAAACAATCATTTCATTCATGTGGTGCTGCACAGTTATCTCC